TATAGGTCCAGGTCCAGAAATAGGTCCAGGTCCAGATATAGGTCCAGGTGTACCTGAAAGACAAAACCACATGTTAAGGATAGAAAAAATAATTACAAATACAAAACAGGTTGAGCAGAGTAAGTAAAGACAGCAGCAGAGTGAAAAGTGTGGTCAGTTTGTCCTCCAGCAGTCTAAGTCTATAGCAGCAGAACTAAGGGACAGCTCAGGAAACCCAAGCTGACCCTAACTATAGGATTTATCAAAAAGGAAAGTCTTAAGCCTAGTTTTAAAACTGGATAATGTGTCAGCCTCACGGACAGAGATTGGAAGTTGGTTACACAAGAGAGGAGCCTGAGAACTGAAAGATCTTCCTCCCATTCTGCTGCTGGAAACTCTAGGAACCACAAGTAAACCTGCAGTCTGAGAGTGAAGTGCTCTGTTAGTAAAATATGGAACAATAAGATCTGTAATATAAGATGGAGCTAGGTAGTTGAGAGCTTTGTAGGTTAGAAGTAAGATTTTGAATTCTATTCTGGATTTGACAGGGAGCCAATGGAGAGAAGCTAAAACTGGAGAGAGATGATCTCTCCCAGTAACTCCAGTTAAGACTCTGGCAGCAGCATGTTGGATCAACTGAAGACGTTTTAAAGAAGTATTTGGACACCCAGATAATAAACCATTGCAATAGTCCAGTCTAGACGTGACAAATGCATGGAGCAGTTTTTCTGCATCATCTTTAGATCAGATGTTTCTAATGTTAGTGATATTACGCAGGTGGAAGAAGGAGGTTCTAGTAACGTTTTTAATGTGGGGGATAAAAGACATGTCCTGATCAAAAATAACACCAAGATTTTTAACATTAGAGCTGGAGGACAGATTAATGCATCTAAGGAGGGAGAAAGACTGAAACATTCATTCCTAAGGTGCTCAGGTCCAAAAACCAAAACCTCAGTCTTGTCTGTTCAACAGGAGAAAATTAAGGGTCATCCAGGTTTTTATGTCTTTAAGACATGCTTGTAGTCTAAGTAGCTGATTGGATTCATTGGATTTAATGGACAAATATAATTGTGTGTCATCAGCATAACAATGAAAATTTATCCCATGCTGTTTAATAATTTTTCCTAATGGAAGCATATATAAAGTAAAGAGTATTGGCCCAAGCACTGAGCCCTGAGGAACTCCATGACTAACTTTGGTGTATGATGAAGATTTATTATTTACATTTACAAACTGGAATCTATCAGATAGATTTGATTTAAACCATTTTAGAGCTGTTCCTGTAATCCCAACATCATATTCAA